TTTTAAAATAATAATAATAATAATAATAATAATAATAAAGTCTTAAACATTTTGTTATTTGAAGTTTTAGAAAATTTTTAACGATTGATAACAAAATAAAAAAAAAAAATTCAACAGTAATAATATTTACAAAAAAAAAAAAAAAAATGGCGATGAGTGTTAAACAAATCTAACAAAAAAAAATAAATAAATAAATAAATAATGATAATAAAAAACTTACTTTTGACCAGAGAGCAAAAATTAATTTGTAATAATCCGAAATTAAAAAATTTGATCCATGTAAAAAATAATAATAATAAAAAGTTTTTTTTTTTTTTTTTTCTTGTTATCGACTGGAAAAACCGTCAGTTATTAATCATCTTCACAGTCTAAAACATGAAAACATTATTTTATTATTTTATTTTACACAAATCCCCTTATTAATAAATACACTATAAATATTAATAATAATAATAATAATAATGTTCGTATATGGTTCTAAACTTAACGAATTATTTAAACACACTGCAAAATTTATCGACTATGAAAATTTTTTTTTTTTTTTTTTTTTTAAATTTCTTGTAGTTGTAGTACAAACGCACACTTTGAGTGTGTGTGTGTTATGGCCCAAAAATACAATTTCAGATACCCTCAATATCTGTTTAGCTTATGAATGTTCAATCGCAAGAGTGAAAAACACAAAAAAATTAAAAAAAAAGCGAAGAAAACAACTTTCATCTAATATGTAATCTTCAAATGTCTATAATAGAATTTTTACAAATGGAGAAATTGTTTTTTATGTTTAGCTTGCCAAATTTAAAGTCGCTTTCTAAATTATTGATAGTAAAAAAAAAAAAAAAAAAATAAAAAATAAATGAGAGGGGATCATTCAAACAGGTATCAGGTACCCGGCCGGTTGATATCCGACTTCTCATTTTTTTTTTTTTTTTTAGTATCTTAAATGACAAACTATTATTATTATTATTATTATTATTATAAATATCAATAAAATTATGAAGTTATTTTACGATAATAAAAACTAGATAAATAAATAAATAAATAATGAATTAATTTCAATTTTAACTTTTAACATTTTCCAAAAAATTTTTTTTATGTTTGTAAACAAAACAAACAAACAAATTCCATAAAGGACGATATAACTTATTTAAATTTAAACATAAATTAATAATACATAAATTTATTATACATAAATTAATTTTATTTAAATAAAATGTTTCTTTTTTCTTTGAGAGAGAGAGAGAGAGAGATAGAGAGAGAATTGTGAGTGATTATCAATTTTTTCTCTTTTTTTTTACACGTAGTACTCGATAGTGAATATCTTGACAGACTGAACATAACTATTTAAAATAAATAATAATAATAATAATAATAAATAAGAGACATTTTACAAAATGAGTATCATACAAAGGTTATTTTGTAAAAAAAAAAAAATATTATTTAATGTTTATAACAAATGATTTTTTTTTTTTAAATTTAAATTTTTTTTTTTACAATTAGTTTTCTTTTTAAATTTAACCCCAAATAATTTTCATTCCATTTTTTTATTAACTTAATTGTTATAAACAAATCGAAACGAATATTAATTTTTCCACGTGACACAAATCACGTGAAAAATTGTTTATAAATAAATAAAATTTTAATCGTACGATTCTTTTAAATAAATAATTAATTAATTGATTAACAAAAATTTTTTAATTATACAAATGTTGTTAATTTTTTTTATTACGCATTTATTTATTTATTTATTAAAAAAAAAAATTATTTTAAATATTTTAAACATAAAAAAAAAAAAAAAAGTTTAATGAAAATAAATGCTGTGTCAAGGCTACCGACTTTGCTTATACTATTAAAAAAAATATTAATTAATTAATTTAAATTAATGGAAAATTATTATTATTATTATTATTATTTAAATCGATAGAAAAGAGAAAATTATTTTTTTTTTTAAAAAAAAAAAAAATTTTGACACGTTTTAAAAAAAAAAAAAAAAAAAATATTTTTTTTGACCCTGAGAAAGTAATTCTAATAAAAATAAATTCATTGACATAAATAAAAGTAACGAGTTTCTTTTAATTCAAAAAATTTTTTTTACTATAATATAATTATTATTATTATAATTTAACATAATTAATAAAACGAGTTATATAAATAAATAATTTCAAAAAAAGAAATTTTTTTAAGAAAAAAAAAATCCGTGCGATAATTTAATTCAATTTTTTTACGCCATTTTTTTTTATATTTAAAAAGTAAAACAAAATAATAATAATAATAATAATAATTAATCTTTCCTTATTTAAAAAAAGGAAAAATTTTTTTTTTTTTCCTTTTTCCATCAAATACATTTTTGTACGCATCAAAAATGTAAATAAAATAATAATAATAATTAAAATAATGATAGCTAATATGGTAGATTGATTATTGTTTTTTTTTTTTTTTTTTTTTTATTTTATGTAAGAGAAAGTCACTCTCTTCCTTCCTTCTTTCCTTTTTTTTTTAATTATATTAATTTAAATAAAT